TAGTGCATGGTGCCCACTAAATCTTTGGGGGACCCAAATTGAGAATGGTATTTAAGAAAATGTATATTTTTGTAGTGTGCATGTCAGTGGCGGATTTAGAGTTAGTGGGGCCCTGTGCTCAGCTTCACTTTAGCCCCTCTTCCCCCTCGGGACCCAGCCAAGTAAAAGAACATTCTCTCTTATCTCCCCTGTGTTTTTCATTCTTTTTTTCTTCATCCTCCTCCTATATTATAAGAAATGGGGAGTAAATGAAAATTAAAGTGAGGTACCTTGATTGGGGCAGCGGGTTGGGGTGCGGGAGGGGGTGTGGGGGTTGGGCTCTGGGCTGGGGCAGGGGGTTGGGGTGCGGGAGGGGAGTGGACTCTGAGAGGAAGTTTGGGTGCGGGCTCTGGGCTGGGGCAGGGGGTTGGGGTGCGGGAAGGGGTCAGGGGGGCGGTGCTTACATGGGGCGGCGCGGCTCCCAAAGTGACTGGCACACACACCCGTCTGGCAGCGGCTCCTAGGTGGGGGGAACAGGGGGTCTCTGCATGCTGCTGCCCTCAGGTGCCGCCCCCACAGCTTCCATTGGCCACAATTCCCAGCCAATGGGAGCTGTGGAATCGGCGCTTGGGACAGGGCAGCATGTGGAGACACCCTCCCCCCCCCCCCCCAGGGGCCGCAGGGACATGCCGGCCACTTCCGGGAGTGGCACAGAGGGAGGGAGGCAGAGTGAGCAGGGAGACACCTTAGCCCTGCTGCTGGCACGTCTCTGCATGCTCCTTGGGGGAAGGGGAGCAGCGTGTCTCTGTGCGCTGCCTGTGTTGGGGGCAGCGTGCGGAGCCGCCTCCCCCCCACCAGGGCATGCAGAGACATGCCAGCAGCTGGCTGCTTCCCGGAGCGGTGTGGGGCCACTGGCAATGGCATGCAGGCAGCCTGCTTGCCTCAGCCCTGCTGCGCTGCTGGCCAGGACTTGGGGGAAGGTTGTCAGATGAGATTTGCCCTGCATTTTGGGAGCCCCGTGCCACCACACAGTTTGTTTCATGATAAATCTATTTCTGGTGCATGTGCCAAATACAGAAAAATGGCTGGAGGGTTTTCATTTTGTTCTAGAGCAAGGAGAACACCGTGAAGTGGCTGATTTGGGGTACAGAGGTGGCCTCTGTTGGCATAATGTTTTGCCTACTCTGCAGCATCTAACCCGGGGTGAACAAATTTTTTGGGCCGAGGGCCACATCTGGGTGGGGAAATTGTATGCAGGGCCGGGGCAGGGGGTTTGGGTGTGGGAGGGAGTGCGGGGTATGTGAGGGGTGCGGTGTGCAGGAAGGGGCTCAGGGCAAGGGATTGGGGTGCAGGAGGGGTGCGGACTGTGGGAGGGGGCTCAGGGCAGGGAGTTGGGGTACATGAGGGGTGAGGCAGGGGGCTCAGGGCAGGGGGTTGGGGTGCAGGAGGGGTGCAGGGTGTACAAGGGGGCTCAGGGCAGGGAGTTGGGGTGCAGGCAGGGTACGAGGTGCAGGCAGAGGGCTTAGGGTAGGGAGTTGGGGGGCAGGGTTCAGGAGGGGTTCGGGCTCTGGCCTGGCCCTGCTTACCTAAAGCGTCTCCATGGTGGCAGCGATAGGCACCAGGGCCAGGGCAGGCTCCCTGCATCCCGGCCCCGGCCCCGGCCCCGGCCCCGGCCCCAGTTCTGGTCCCCTCCAGGAAGTGCTGTGGCCCCAGGGCATGCGGGGTGGAGAGCTCCGCGCGCGATGCCCTTGCCGCGCATCCAGGTTCCTCCCACGAAGCTCTCATTGGTCGCGGTTCCCTGTTCCCGGCCAATGGGAGCTGCAGGGGGCGGTGCCTGGACGCAAGGGCAACGCACGGAGTCCTCTGCCCTCCCACCAGGGGTCTGCAAGGATGTGGTGTCGGCCGCTTCTGAGAGCGGCGCGGGACCCACGGCGCCACGGGGGGCAATCCCCCGGGCCGGATCCAAAGCTCTGAGGTGCTAGATCCGGCCCGTGGGCTGTAGTTTGCCCACCCCTGATCTAACCAGTGATTTAAGAGGTTGTTATCTGCTGGACATTGTGGTTATTCGCTTGGATGGAAAAGTTCCTGGCCTTATTCCTGGTGTATATTTCATACAATGTCTGAAAGCAGGATTGGACCACATCAATTTGTGCCCAGGAGCTGATACTTTTCTCTGATTTCGCTAAGCATCTGAATATTGACTACAGTAACAATGTGAAAGCTATTAATGTGTTTTGGAAGAACATTAATTGGGAAATTGGAGAGTTCATGGCTGACCAGAAAATGTGCCCTGTATGGCTTAGAAACACTTCAAGTTCTCACACCTCTCTGTTTCTCAGAGATGGGGTACAACAGGGCTCAGAGCATCTTTCTCTCAGACATAAAACTGTCAGTAATTTGGAACAGAAACCCTGTCTGGGATTTCTCTCCCTAGCTCTGCCACAAACTCCATCTTCCAAGCATTCTGAAACACAATTGGCAACACCACGCCACTGTAACATCTTGTCCTTCCCTCCCGGCACAGTATGCGAGTCAGTTTATAGGAGTGGGAGGGAAGTGACAGCAATGGGAAATGTTTGTATACTAGGGATTGAAGACTTCAGGAAAATGCATTCCCTGTTTGTAGTGGGGAGGTCCTAGGTACAGTAGTAGGGAGTGGCCAGGTTAGAGGTGGTAGGCAGTGACTGAGCCAAGGCATGGCTGGAGAGGCGTGTTGAAGCAGTGCTGATTGGTGTGTGTGTGGGGGGGGGCGTGACTTTGTGTGCAAATTATAGGACATGATATGTACAACTGCCTAAATGACTACTAACTCCTACCAACAACATATCTTTTCCTGTTCAGAAACCTAGGAAATTCAATGGCAAAAAACCTACTTTATCGCAGATTTAAGATTGCTTGGTGATATGTCGTGCCCTTGCAGGACACTGAGTTCAGCAAAACTCAAACTTCTGAAAACCAGGAAATGCACAGACCAGATGTCCAGTACAACCTTAACTCTGCCTCTTTCAGCAGTGCCCCAATATGCTCCATTAATACACACATCCCTTTACTCTGCCAACCTCACAGTTACTGAAACGTACAAGTTCTTCACCTCCTTTTACAACCCATTCACTCTCACTCACAGAATTCTATCTAACACTACTAAAGGACAAAAAGAAAAAGGTGCCTATGCCATATTCCCTCTGTTCCCCTGGAGCTGGCATTAGCCAATGGGAATTATTTGCATACACACTAGGTGCAGTCAGAGTGTTAGGTATACCCACACTAAATGGTGGAGACAGTAGTTGGACCTGCTTGGTAAAGGTGTGTTTTTGATATGAGGACATGTGTGAATTACTCTGAGTAGTGTGACAGAGCTGTGATTATGCTGTGAGGAGAGCTGTGATTTGCACCTGCTTGTGTGTGAGGAAAGGGAAGAGATGTGTTTGTACCTTCAGGATGTGGGATGCATTATTTTTATGCAGAATTGTGTAGGCTACATCAGTAACAGAGAATAGGGCTTCTATTACAAAGGATATTGTCAGCATTGAGGTGGAATACGAGAGCATCCTAATGCTTTAATGATGGTTAAGTGAAAGGTTGAGATGGTATCCTGTGAGCAAGTGTAAGGGAGTTGTAAAAGGCTGGGAAATAGTTATTAAATTGTACACATGTGGTAGGTATTCCTTCTGGGGAGTTGGCTAAATGTGTGAGTGTATCCTGAATCCTACAATGTCAAGGGCCAGTGAGTATGTGCTGTGTGCATATTGAGGCATTGCCCAAAGAGAGAGAGGGAAGGCAACCTTTTTATTTTTTATTTTTATCCTTTAGTAGTATTAGATGGAATCATGTGGCTAAGACTGAATGGTTAGTAAAAGGAAGTGAAGGAGGTGAAGAACTCGTAGACACAATATATATTGATTTTAGTAAGGCTTTTGACACAGTCTCATAAGCAATGCAATCTACATGAAATTACTATAAGGTGGGTGCACAACTGGTTGAAAGACCGTGCTCAAAGAAAAAACAACGAGGAGTCCTTGTGACTAGTCTCTAAGGTGCCACAAGGACTCCTCATTGTTTTTGCTGATACAGACTAACACGGCTACCATTCTGAAACCGTACTCAAAGAGTAGTTATCAATGGGTCTCTGTCAAACTGGGAGGGCGTGTCTAGTGAGGTTCTGCAGGGGTCAGTCTTGGGTCTGGGACTATTCAATATTTTCTTTAATGAATTGGATAATGGAGTGGAGAGCATGCTTGTAAAATCTGCAGATGACACCAAGTTGGGTGAGTTTGCAAGCATGTTGGAGGGTAGAATTAGAATTCAAAATGATCTTGACAAATTGGTCTGAATTCAACAAGATGAAATTCAGTCAAGACAAGTGCAAAGTACCTCACTTAGGAAGGAAAAATCAAATGCACAACTACAAAATGGGGGAATAACTGGGTGCATGGTAGTACTTCTGAGAAGGATCGGGGGGCGGGGGGGGCTATAGTGGATCACAAATTGAATATGAGTCAACAATGTGATGCAATTTCCCAAAAAGCTAATATCGTTCTGGAATGTATTAATAGGAGTATTGTATGTAAGACACAGGAGGTAATTTTCCCACTATACTCAGCACTGCTGAGGCTTCAGCTGGAATATTGTGTCCAATTCTGGGCATCACACTTTGGGGAACATGTGGACAAACTGGAAAGGGTCCAATGGAGAGCGCAAAATGATAAAAGGGTTAGAAAGCCTAATCTATGAGGCAAGGTTGTGTGGGCAACCTTAACTGAGTTTCATGGTTTTCAAAAGTTTTGAATTTTGCTGAACTCAACATTCTGCAGGGGGATGACATACCAGCAAGCAACCTTAACTCTGTGCTAATGTAGTTTTCTGCCATTGAGTATAAAGTGAGTATTAGTCACATTCAAAATTAAATAAAAATAATGATAGCATAAAAGGTTAATAATCAATTTGCCTTTGTAAGAAGAGTATTGTATATACCTTTGCTTATGAATGTTAATAACTTAGTGGGGAATTTTTCTTTTATTCAGGACATGGCCTTTCATTATCAAGAGTCCAAAGCAATATAAAAATCTCTCTTTCATGGATGCGATGAACAAATTTAAATGGTCCAGATCAGCAGGTCTCTCCTACAATGAGCTTGTTCTTAGACTGCCAGTGAATGTGAGATGCTCAAAGACTGACAATGCAGAATGGTCGGTAAGTCTAATCCTGCATTAGCTGTCCAAGTGCTATTGAAGACGTAACAATACTATGAATACAATGGGGTCCTCTCTGAAGAAAACGGGAGTTACTGTGCTTGAATTGATGGGGAATAAGTAGTTGGTTATATGCCTTTCCCTCCACTTCTCATGGCTGTTGAAAAATGGTTGAAAAGGTTTGGAAAAGTTGGAATATATTATCACTATTTTCCTTCCTTGAGCACTGACAGGATATTAAACGACTGAAAAATCAGTACCCTAGCCAGTCCATGGAATTAGTAATAGAATAAGGAGCCTTTCATCACCTCTGGGCCATAGGTCATGGAGTCTACATCTCTCACCCTAGGAGTTGGTCTCCTAGCTCAGTGATGAGGTGTGTTAGTAGGCCAGGAAAGGGAAATTCACATTGTTTGCCATATTTTCTCTGTGTCCGGTTGCAGGATTTCAGTCTCCAAGGATATTCCTTTCTGATTCTCCCTGAGCACTAAATTCACTTTGAAATGTAAAGTAAATAGTAATCCTCCACTGAGCTCTAAATGTCTATTGACATTTTAACAGTCCCTCTGGGAAAAAATGAATGGCATGGCTATTGAACTTGCATTGACAAAGCACCATTAGAACATCAATGTAGTATCAGTGGAGGAGACATTGAAAAAATAAATGTGCATTGACACTCTATTGCATATTTGACTCCATTATAAACAGATTCATGCATCAATTCTCCTCTGTATCTGACCTCTGCTGAGCATGAGAGGGGAGTGCATCATGGACCCAGTTATGTGCTTGATTCTGTGCTTACCCAGCATGGGCATGAGCTAGAGAAGCCTAGATGCAGCTCTATGTCATTGGTGTTATGATCTGTAAGCACACAGCTGTCAGTGGTGGTCTGGCAAAGCAGCACTCTCGTCCCAACCCTGAATAGCTCCCTCCATCTCCCACACCAATAAGAGTGGGGACTACTGGCACAGGAGATTTATGCCATTGGGGGAGTTTCCATCCTCCAGGGGAATTCTCTACTCACTAAAATCCAACCCCCTTATACCTCTTGAGAGTTTCAAAAGGGCAGGAGTATAATGCAGAATCTGGCCTTCAATGTCCCTAGAATTCTTAGAGTTGTCATATTCATACATTATAAGAGAATCTAACATTGACCAGATTGGCATGTCTTTGGGATGGACCTGAAATAATTCATGGTTCACCATCAGTACAGGTCTAACTATGCATCGTATGATACTCACCTTCATTGAAATTGTATAGTGTGTGAGAGATTTTTATGAGATGTCTGTAAAATAGTTCTGATTTCATTCTAATGCTTGCTATACTACTGAAATTCTATGAAAAGTAATTACAGACACTACATGCAAAATGCTCACTGATCATGGTTAAATAGCTTGGCTGCTTTAATCTACTTAAAACAATAGTGAACACAAAATGCACAGCCAACATAATTTCATTATTTATTTTTTCGGGGTTCTAGCTAAGAGGCTGGAAATCATATATGGAAATTATATCAGATATGGGGAGGATTTTCTATTTTCTCTACTCTTCACTTATTAGACAGCACTGTTCCTTTATATTCCAGAACACAGTAGCAATATTTGCAGCATTACAGACCCAAGGCAGGTATGATCTCAGTAGGAGCTGAGGGTGATTGGCTCTATGTTTTTATCATTAGTTTCTTTTTCCACAAGGTTACGTCCATTAAAGCTAAGAGCAGGATTTATTTTCTTTCTTTCTTTCTTTCTTTCTTTCTTTCTTTCTTTCTTTCTTTCTTTCTTTCTTTCTTTCTTTCTTTCCCATAACCAGTATTGCAGTTAGCCATCCTTCAACAAGATTAAGATAAGAGCTCCATACTGGGTCAGACCAATGGTCCATCTATCCCAGTATCTTGTCTCTGACAGTAACCCATACCTGAACTTCATGGGGACCGTACAGAACAGGGCAGCTGGAGTGATCCATCCCTTTCTTCCTCTCATGGCTTCTGGTAGTCAGAGGTTTATGGTCTCCCCAAGCATGGAGCTGCAGCCATACCCATCTTGGTTAATAGCCATTTAACATCTCTAGTTCTTTTTTTGAATCCAGTTATACTTTTGGCCATCTCAACATTGCATGGCAGGGCGTTACACAGGGTAATTGTGAAGTGTGTGAAAAAATACTTCCTCTTGTTTATATTAAACATGCTGCATATTAATTTCATTGGGTAACCCCCTGGTTTTTGTATTGTGGGAAAAGGTAAATAACACTTCTCTATTCACTTTTTCCACACCATTCATGATTTTATATCACATCCCCCCCTTAGTCATCTATTTTCTAAGATGAAGAGCCCTAATCTTTTTAGTCTCTCCTCATATGGAGCCGTTCCATACCCTTGATCAAAGAATCATAGAATCATGAAGTGTAAGACTGGAAGGGACCTCAATTTGTCATCTAATCAAGTCCCCTGAATTCAAGACAGGGCTACGTAATAACTAGGCCATTCCTGACTGGTGTTTTTCTAACCTGTTCTTAAAAACCTCCACAACCTACATAGGCAATTTGTTCCACTGCTTAACTACCCTAACAGTTAGGAAGTTAAATAAAGTTTTTCCTAATGTCCAAACCTAAACCTCCCTTTCTGCAATTTAACCCATTGCTTCTTATCCTATCCTCAGAGGTTAAGGAGAATAGTTTTTCACCTCCTCCTTATAACAACCTTTAAAGTACTTGAAAACTGTTATGTCCCCACCTCTACCCTTCTCTTCAACAGACTAAACAAACCCAGTTTTTTCAGTCTTCCTTCATAGGTCATGTTTTCTAGACCTTTAATCATTTTTGTTGCTCTCCTCTGGACTTTCTCCAATTTGTCTACTTCTTTCCTAACTATATTCTTTTTGAGATGGAGTGACCAGAACTGGACACAGTATTCAAGGTGTTGGTGTATTATGGATTTATAATAGTTGCATTATGATATTTTCTGTCTTATTTTCTATCCCCTGCCTGATAGTTCCTAACATTCTGTTAGCTTTTTGACCACTGCTGCTCATTGAGCTGAAGTTGTCAGAGAACTACCCATGATGACTCCAAGATCTCTTTCTTGAGTGGTAACAGCTAATTTAGAACCCATCGTTATATATGTATAGTTGGGATTGTGTTTGCCAACATGCATTACTTTGCACTTATCAGTGTTGAATTTCATCTGCTTTTTATTGCCTACTCACCCAGTTTTGTGAGATCCCCTGTAACTCTTCGCAGTCATCTCTGGATTTAACTGTCTTGAATAATTTTGTATCATCTACAAACTTTGTCACTTCATTGTTTGCTCCCTTTTCCAGATCATTAAAGAATACATTGAACAGCACAGGTCCTAATACAGATCCTTGAGGGAGCCCGCTGTTTACCTCGCTCCATTGTGAAAACTGACCATTGGTTCCTACCCATTGTTTCCTATCTTTCATCCAGATACTGATCCATGAGAGGACCTTCCCTGTTATTCCATGACTACTTAGTTTCATCAAGAGCCTTTGGCAAGGGACCTTGTCAAAGACTTTCTGAAAATCCAAGTACACTGTATCAACTGGATCACCCATAGCCACGTGCTCGTTGACTCCCTCAAAGAATTCTAATAGATGGGTGAAGCATGATTTCCCTTTACAAAAGCAGTGTTGACTCTTTCCCACAAATCATGTTATCTGTGTGCCTGATCATTCTGTTCTTTACTATAGTTTCTACCAATTTTCCCAGTACTGAAGTTAGGCTTATTGCCAGGATTGTGTATGGAGCCCTTTATAAAAAAATGGTGTTACGTTAGCTACCTTCCAGTCACCTGGTACAGAGGCTCATTTCAGTGATAGCTTACGTACTACAGTTAGTAGTTCTGCAATTTCATATTTGAGTTCCTTCAGAACTCTTAGGTGAATGCCATCTTCTCCTGGTGACTTCTTATGGTTTAATTTATCAATTTGTTCTAAAACTTCTTCTATTGACTCATCAATATGGGACAGTACTTCAGATTTCTCACCCAAACAGGGTAGCTCTGATGTGGATATCTCCCCCTCATCCTCTGCAGTGAAGACTGATGAAAAGAGTTCATTTAGCTTCCTTGCAAAGACCTTGTCTTCCTTTAACACCCTGGTCATCCAGAGGCCTTACTGCTTATTTGGTAGGCTTCACGCTTCTGATATATTTACAAACATTCTTAAGGTTAGTTTTTGCATCTTTAGCAAGTTGCTTCTCAAATTCTTTCTTGGCCTGCCTTATTTTACTTTTATTTTTCACTTGCCAGAGTTTGCACACCTATCCTATTATCCTTATTTAGAAGGATTTGACTCCTAAATTTTAAATTATGCCTTTTTTCCCCTCTAACAATCTCCATTACTCTACTGTTTAGCAATGATGGCATTCGTTTGGTCCTCTTATTGTCTTCTCTGATTTGGGGTATACATTTAGTGCAGGGGTTCCCAAACTTGGTTCGCGGCTTGTTCAGGGTAAGCTCCTGGTGGGCCGTGAGATGCTTTGTTTACCTGAGCATCCACAGGTACAGCCACTCGCAGCTCCCAGTGGCCGCGGTTTGCCGTTCCCGGGTAACGGGTGCTGTGGGAAGCTCTGTGGATGAGAGGAAAGCAGTGGACGTGTTATTCCTTGACTTTAGCAAAGCTTTTGATACGGTCTCCCACAGTATTCTTGCCAGCAAGTTAAAGAAGCATTGGCTGGATGAATGGATTATAACGTGGATAGAAAGCTGGCTAGATCATCGGGCTCAACGGGTAGTGATCAATGGCTTCATATCTAGTTGGCAGCTGGTATCAAGCGGAGTGCCCCAAAGGTTGGTCCTGGGGCTGGTTTTGTTCAATATCTTCATTAATGTGGATGGCGTGGATTGCACCCTCACCAAGTTTGCAGATGACACTAAACTGGGAGGAGTGGTAGATGTGCTGGAGGGTAGGGATAGGATACAGAGGGACCTAGACAAATTAGAGGATTGGGCCAAAAGAAATCTTATGAGGTTCAACAAGGACAAGTGCAGAGTCCTGCATTTAGAATGGAAGAATCCCATGTACCGCTACAGACTAGGGACGGAGTGGCTAGGCAGCAGTTCTGCAGAAAAGGACCTAGGGGTTACAGTGGACGAGAAGCTGGATATGAGTCAACAGTGCACTCTTGTTGCCAAGAAGGCTAATAGCATTTTGTGCTGTATAAGTAAGAGAATTGACAGCAGATCAAGGGACGTGATCATTCCCCTCTATTTGACATTGGTGAGGCCTCATCTGGAGTACCGTGTCCAGTTTTGGGCCCCACACTACAAGAAGGATGTGGAAAAATTGGAAAGAGTCCAGTGGAGGGCAACAAAAATGATTAGGGGGCTGGATCACATGCCTTATGAGTAGAGGCTGAAGGAACTGGGATTATTTAGTCTGCAGAAGGGAAAAATGAGGGGGTATTTGATAGCTGCTTTCAACTACCCGAAAGGCCGTTCCAAAGAGGATGGATCTAGACTGTTCTCAGTGGTAGCAGATGACAGAACAAGAAGTAATGGTCTCAAGTTGCAGTGGGGGAGGTTTAGGTTGGATATTAGGAAAAACTTTTTCACTAGGAGGGTGGTAAAGCACTGGAATGGGTTATCTAGGGAGGTGGTGGAATCTCCTTCCTTAGAGGTTTTTAAGGTCAGGCTTGACAAAGCCCTGGCTGGGATGATTTAGTTGGGGATTGGTCCTGCTTTGAGCAGGAGGTTGGACTTGATGACCTCCTGAGGTCCCTTCCAACCCTGATATTCTATGATTCTATGTAACTGTTTATTTTCAGTACTGTAAGGGGAGAGCAACTTCAAAAAAGGCCCATCAAGCCACAAGTCCATCTGTTGCATTTTCAAAGGCTAAAAAAATGTGTGTCCTAAGCTACTGGATTCTCATTTTTCATGGAACTCCCATATTTATCTCAAACATATTCATGTTTCTTTTTAATTCAAGTTGTTGCTCATCTTAATGGGGAGTCCACAGCAGGAAACACACACCCAAACAGTGTACACCAGTCCCCTCTTATGTCAAAGCAGGGGCAGACGGGGGGTTGTGGGAGCTGCATCACAATGACATTGAGGTCACAAGGAGGACTCTCTGAAGGTTATATTCCATCATCATTATTGTGTGCGATAGTCCCTTCCATTTCACTCTTTGAGGGGAATGTGCAGAGGAAACTGCAAGTGAGGACAACATGAAAGCAGCTGCTCCTGAAGAAACCATGCGCTAGATCCACAAGGGGACTTAGGCACCTAAAGCCCAGTTTTAAGCACCACTGCCAATCTACAAAGCCCCCACTCAGCTGCCACCTAACTCATTTTGTGCCTAATTTTTTTGCTGTGGAAGTTCCCAAGATACCTAAGTTTCTGCCTCTGGGCACGCGCACAGCTGCCTCACTCAAGGTACCTGGATGCCTATCTTCCACCTGAGCCCCAATGTGATCCATGAATCAGTAAAAGATCAACATCCTTCTGCCTATAGGGCCCAACCCAGTAGGCATGCTCAGAGGCTATCTAGCGCTATACAAAACAAGTCAGGGGCAAAGAAGGGGTAGTGGTAAAGGAGGCCCTTCCCTCATCACCTTTAGCCCAGTGATTAGGGTGCTCACCTAGGATGTGGGAGATGCCCAGTTCAAGTGCCCCCTCTGCCCAATGAGAAGAAGGGATTTAAACTGGGATCTGCCACCTCTCAGGTGAGTGCTTTAACCATTGGGCTATATATAGAGAGACTCATTCTTTCTCTGGCCCAATTAATATGTAACTAAAGTGGAACAACTTCAACAGGAGAGATCGAGAAAGACCTACATCAGAATATCCCCACCCCCAGCCCTTCTGTGTGGAGTTGCCCTTAATGGACTGACTGCAAAGGAGCTATGCTGACTTATACCAGCTGAGAATCTGATCCAGAATATATTGATGTGCTGATTGAGTTTGACAACTACAGATGCACTACCATAGTATAAATGTTAAATAATAATGTTTCTGATGGAAACATTGGACTACTTAGGTAGTTTCTATTTTATAATCTTATATGATAGAAAATCTGATCATTTTCAATATTTTTTTAATTGTAGATCCAAGGCATGACAGCTATACCTCCTGAAATTGAGAGACCATACAGGACAGAGCCAGTAATATGTATCTCATCCTCATCTTCCTATTTACATTGCAGTCTATTCCTTAATCTGTTATTCATTGCATGTGTCACAGTCAGTACCCTCGGGAACAGTTGGCCCTTTGTATAATAATTTAATTGTTTTCATGTATGTTCTGTATGCCTTGCAACTCCAGATATGTTTGCACTGTTGCTATTGTAGATTTATTTTTTTACATATTAATAAAGTAAATTTACTAGTTCAAAATAAAATGTTTAAGTCTTCTGAAAACTCTGTTTATTTTGTTTTTTTAATGTACAGTATGTGTAAAGAACAGTAGGTACATTGCTACGTTACATTATCAAAATTGTTTCCCCTACAGTTTTGTTACAGCTTATCCTGGCTTTTCACACAGTGTTTCTAGAAACAGATCTGTATCCAGATAAAATTAATAAACTAAAATTTAAGTAGTTCACCTTAATCAACATGGAGTGTGCTGTATTATTTTGTCTTGGTTCTTGAGACATGTAAGTGATGAAGACTACTGATATAGGGCTTGATCCTGCAAACGCTTATGTACCTGAGTAACTATACACACGTTGGGATGGCTCTCCCCCTGCTGCAGTAGAATTCCCAAGAGAGGGCTTTTGGGGAAGGAATTTCGGCAGGAAATCCCTTGCAGATTCTCTCCATCATAGTCTCTTTGAGGGGAGGCAGGGTGTAGGGTTTGTCCTCCATGGGAAATGGTGCAGGGCAGAACCCCAGGGATCATTGTAGAAGCCAGAACTATCCATGCAGAGACACTTTGTCTTTGCATGGGCTCTGGCCCCAGGAACCCTCCTTCCCAGCTTCTGGGCAATGGAGTGTAGTTTCTCCCCTGAGGTGTAGCACAAGCCTCCTCTCTGAGCTTGCTAATCAGAGTGGCTTTTCCCTGCCAGCATGGATTGGGTCCTGAGTTCTTCGTTGCAATGCCTGGTGCCTCCACCCAAGGTGCCTCTTCTCTGTGCCTGGGATACAAGGGGTGCTGTTTCAGGGAAACAACTAAGGGATATCTGCACTAAACTTGTATCCTAACTGATTGGGAGCTTCTGGAACAAATCACAAAGACCCAGTATATCATTTTAAAGTAAGATTCCACAGACTACTGGTTTAATCTCGCAACTCCCAGAACACAGCATGCCGCTTCTCCCTTTGTAGCTAACTGCCCTCTCCAGTCAATACCAAAACCTGGGCTGGAGTAACGTGACCCGGCTGCTATACTCGGTACTCTAAAAGAATGGCAAAGATCACGGAATGGATTTTCCACAAACACTATGGATTCTACAATGGCACAACTGTAGCACTATCGCTATGTTCCCATAGAGCCATAGTTTACAGACAGAAGGTGTTTTTCCGTTGAAAGAATTAGTCCTTCTCCCCAAGCGGGAGTAACTAGGTTGATAGAAGAATTTTTCCTTTGATCTAGATACATCTACAATGGGGGCTAGTTCGGCTTAACTGTGGCTTGGGGTGTGAATTTTTCACACTCCTGAATGGCATACTTAGGTCAATCTAAATTTTAAGTGTAGACCAGGGTTAATACTGTACTGTTAACGAGGAGTATGACACAGTACACAAGAAACAAAATAGTCATACAAATCCCAGCAAATAAAATGCCACACCCAAAATAACAGTGTAACAAAAGGGGGTCTTGATTGGTGACAGGAAACAGAGGCTCTAGGGAGAGAACGTGTTATGGTTAAACATTAATAATACAACAAATTCCCCACCTCCCAACATTCACAGATGTACCACAGCCCCCAGCTCTCCCCTGGCACCTTCCCAGGCAGACGGAATGCATAGGATGAGTCCAGAGATGAGTGTAGCAACGCTGCAAATGGCCAGTTTAGAGAACAAAAGGAGCCCTCTGCCAGTATTTTCACTCTTGAATGGGCAGGGTTCTCTCTCTGGTCTGGAGTCCTGTGGAGATCCCAGCTGGCTCTAGGTAGCTGGCACCAGGTTGGTTCACTGCCTCTCTGGGCACTGATCTACACAGGGCTGGAACTGCCTGACCCGTGCACTAGATCCCACAGCAGTTCACACCCTTTGTGGGGACTGGGAGCTAACCAGAGACTCCCTGAGCTGTTCTGCTTCTTGCTCTGCTCCAAAGTCAAAAGCCAAAACTGTTACTAAAAAGCCCTGGTCCTTTGTCTATGAACCAGGCTGCCCCCTCCCATTGGGGGGGTTGAGCAGTCCTGGCTCCTTGTTGGCCCAGAAAACGGTCTGTATAAATCATCCCAGTTCAAAAGCCTTCCTATTGCCTTATGCAGGAGCTTTCTGTCTACTCTGTCCCTGCCCTGGATTCTAAGCATGCTGGAAAATGGTGTCCAGAGGCTCTGGAGCCATTTTTGTTGTGGTCCATAGGCTAGGGACCCTAGGATATGTCTACACAGCAATAAAACACCTGTGACTGGCCCATGTCAGCTGACTTGGGCTTGGGATGTGGGGCTATAAAACCGCAGTGTAGATGTTCTGGCTTGGGCTGAAGCCTGGGCTCTGGGACCTCACAAGGGGGGAGGGTCCCTAAGCCCGGGATCCAGCCTGAGCCCGGATCCCTACACTGCAATTTTATAGTCCTGCAGCCAAAGCCCTGCAATTCCAAGTCAGCTGACGTGGGCCAGATCCACCTGTTCTACTGCAGTGTAGACACACCCTTTGAGGCTCAGTCCAGCATTTCAGGAGCTGATAAACTCCAAAAGGGGTTAGAGTAGCTCCTCTTTTTCTGCATTAAAATAAGAGCAGATACTGAAAAGGATGATGTCCTGTCTCTTGTGAAAAGATAACATCTCTTTTAGGAGAAAACTAGGACCAGACCTAAGCACCACCTTTTCTGCAAAGAAGATAATACAATGAGGAGGAATGCATTGCAGGGCTGCTAAATCTCCCGTGTAAAGAGCCAAAATGATGGCCCGTGTGAACACCACTTCCAAATGAAGAGACGCACTGAAGAATGGGTTAGAAGATGAACCAAAGCCAGATTTAGGGTTTAGGATGTGTATAGGGACCGACCTGTCGGGTGTAATGTACAAGGCAGCCTCATTTAAAATAAGACATTCTAGGGAGAGTTCCAAAGGGAACTTCTCTAATGCTACTTCTCAAGGATACAACCTGCACTCAGAAGGAGAAAAGAATCCTCATCAAATGCCCGAGGAATTTCTAATGCTGGAACCGGGAAGCTGCTATACATAAATGCCCTGCCCTTTCCATGCAGCCACATAAATCACGAAAGTTGAACATATTTTATTCACCTTTTCTTTTGGAAAAGAGAATACAGCACAAAATGAGAAAAGAAAATGGACGCTGGGCATCTCTTGCTAAACACTGTGTTCTCTCGCATTTGCTAGTGGATGTGTGCTTCTGGCTTCAAGCCTATTCGGACTTGGCTTGGAATAAAAATAAATAAAGCAAACATATGGTTATTTTCCATTCACACAAAATATAATGGCTGCTGTCTGATTTGATGCAGTTTCATATATGAGAGGATTTTCTTTCCATGGGCACCTCACCTAATGATATCTTAACAAGTGTTGTTGCCAATCAGTATGTTATGCTATGATATAAAATGAAGCGGCCTAGGAAGGGATGTTTGTGAGAAGTAACTGCCAGTACACCAGGCAGCAAGAGCTTCCATAAGCTCTAACGGATCGTTTCTGCTTGGCCTGCCTCTGCTTTTAAATGTCTAGAAGGGATAGCAATGGAAAATCTGTTTTACTGGTAAATAAAACATGGGTGAGCGATACAGATTCAGCATACTTACGGCAAAAAGAAATGGGAGCAAATATGCATATGTTGTATTACAAACTAGATTTGCAACGGAGAAAAAAAGCTGGGTGTCTGGATGGAGACTGCCAAAAATCAAAACAAAAACATGGATGAAAAGTACCAGAAGTGAACACCATGGCATTGAGAAGGTAAAGACAGGAAAAGCATACGCAGCAGCGGCTAAGATGTTTTGGCCTTGTACACAAACAGCTTTCAAAAAGGAAGGTACAGTTTTAATTTCTATGGTTTGCTGCACTATTACCTTCTACTGAAGCATATATGTTTGCAATATACAGCTACTTGGAAGTTTTAGAGTAGTTGTAGTTAAATGAGAAATGCAGTAAATATTGTACTTAAAACATTCTCTGTGGGGGGGGGAAGTGTGTGAAGAGGATATACTGAATGATTGACAAAAGTGGAATGTAGACAATGAACAGAAAACTTATTGGCTAAATCTATTTCTCACTCAAATGAAGTTGCCATCAGAATAATCCTGTGTGATAATTAATGATTGGAGAACTTCAGAAATTTCGGGAGCAGACTGTAAATCTCTGCCAGCTCTGTATCTGTAAACAGCTCTGTATCTAATACTTCAGTGTGCAAACATTTATGTTTTGGAAAAGAATATAAAAACTCTCTCCTTCATCAGAACCCATGTGAAATATATATCCTGCATCCTCAAAATGAAATATTATCAATTTCTGTTATGCTCTTTAATCATAATAAAGCTTTCAAGTAATGAAAATGTGGCTCAACTTAAACATCTGGGATACTCAGATCCACAGATGTCTAGAATTCTTATTTGAAAGATTGTTTTTCACTTTGTCAGAATACAAAGATGTCAAAAAGGTGGCAGTCAGTGTTTATATAACACTTCAATTTTTACTCCTATTAAGGAGTCTGTCATTCCCCATTCCTACTTCTTCATTGCAAGGGCCTGTTATGTGATACAGATGCAATCCATTTGTGATTAAATCACAGTGACATCCATGCAAATTGCCTGTGTTGAGTGAGGACCCTGTATGGCCCATAGTTGAAGCCAACTGGTATGGTTTGGTAGGCTTAAACCCCCTTCCCTTGGGAGGGTTGTCCATTTTTAATTAACCAGACTGGCTGTTTTACATTTCCATTTTTTAAAATAGAGATGATCTATTATAATCAAAATGTCCAAAAGGCTTAAAGGATTTATCAAATAATAGAATCTGAGGCCAATATTTATTTTAACATTCCCTCACTCCTTTCTCCCACACTCCCCTATAACCTAGAATGTGACTAGACATACTTTGAGACTGATGACATTAACTACAGAACATATGAAAATCTCCATTCCTCTTCCCATGCTCACCACATGAGAGCATTTTGATGTTAGTATCAGGACCGGCTCTAGGCACCAGCAAACCAAGCACGTGCTTGGGGCTGCACAATTCCAGGGGCGGCATTCCGGACACCTTTTTTTTTTTGCTTGGGGCAGCAAAAAACCTAGAGCCGGCCCTGGTTAGTATATTGCTTGAAAGGGACAGCATGCTAATCCTGTCAGACGGGCTGTGTGTTTGTTGTAGCTCTTTAATGGAGAGGGAGCAGGAAATGCTGAGAGAGAGAGTAGAGAGGCTGGAGTTAGCTCTCAGGAAGAGTAGCC